ATCATCCGGCTCGCTCATCTCTCGGCTTCGGGCCACGCTGCCGCAAAGGATCACATCAAGCCCGTCTGCACTCGACTGTGGCACCATTGTGCACTTTAAAAAACAGAGACATACACGACAAACCCGCCCGAAAACGGAAACGGCGTCTCTTTCCGTACGTCATCGATGCTTGCTGATTTGAAATGAAAAAAGCCCTGAAGTGTTGGCAGCCAAATCAAAGGAGGCAACGTTAATCCAATCGGTCGAGCCTCAGATCCGCACAAGCGATGTGAGGCCGATTGTGTGGAGAAATGGAGGATTAAACGCCGCTTAATTAATTACGTATTGAGTGCTCATTCCAAGAGACTAATGAAACCCTGGCGGTGAACTTTTCTGAGGAGCTGTCACAGTCTGATGGGTCCTGGATGGCGCTGTCAAGAACCGAAACACACACACACGCGCACACACACATCAGCAGCAGTGGTTGGTCTATTTTAGCTGAGAAATTACAGCTTAATTATAGAAAAATCTGCAATATCGTCACTGCTTTTCAACACAAATGGAGACAAAAGATGTAGAAACAGCACCCCCTCAGGCCAACAGTGGAATTACGTCAATGACAATAAGAATTTAGATTCACAGATCAAACGATTCCCTTTCAGGTTACCGTTTTGGAGAAATTTGAGCTAAATGATGCTGTTTTTTTTTTTTAACTCTTTCTGAAGTATTTAAAAAAATGCTCTGCTGAGAAGTGAATTTTCTGTAAACAAGTCAACATTTACCCCCAAAGGTGAGGACATGGTGACTGCCGTGTGTGAACAAAGAGAACATTCACCGCGATTTCCTTTTAGGTTTTTGATCCCATCATATTGCTCTGGCTTCTCTAGCTGCTCATTTCTGGAACAAACAATAAAAATATTTAATTATTGTCATTTTATGCTTACAATAATGTGATGGATGTTTGGTTGAATGAATAAATAGTCTCTGCTCCAGTGTTTCAATGAATGCTTTTGAGTTTCGAGACGAGTTTTTAACATGACAAAGTATTTTTAAATAGCGCTCTACTGAGAAATGACTCTTCTATAAATAAGTCAAGATTTACCCCCAAAGGTGAGGACATGGTGACTGCTGTGTGAGAGCACATGTTCACTGTGGGATTCTGTTATTAATTATGCATCTTTCAGGTCTACAAACACAAGCTAACATAATGAAAAAGTTAATCAAGATATAGAGAAAAACAATTTAATCTTTCCCAGTAGTACCTTTCCCCCAAAGGTGAGAACATGGTGACCGCCGTGTGTGAGCAGAGAGAAAGTTCACTGTTAGATCCTCTTATTAAAAATAAATTCCTCTCAATTCTCATTAAGCTTTAAACAGTTAAACCATTAAAGCTTCAGGATTGTACTATTTTTTGCAGTGTAATTCCCTCTGAAATAACAGTACAGGTATTCACTTTAATCTGTGAGTGACAATTTATTTAGCTAGAGTCTTTAATAAAGACTTTATTAAGGGGTAACCATCCTTGTTTACTGCTATAAAAGTGGCTGAAATTTCTATTTACTTTGCTTTCTTACAGCTAAAGCTGAAAGTTGTGATGAGACGGGCTTTCCTGGAAATTCAGACAAACTAAAATATAGTTTATGAGAGTGAATAGAAGAGCATTAATTTAATTTAGCAGATGTAAATAAACAGAGTTAATATATGACTTACTCTCTAGGCTAACTGGTTTATAATGACATGAGCTTTTCTTTTTTTTAATAATTCTAAATTTAGATTCAAAATTAGTTCTCATGAAGTTTGAACTAACACAATAAGCTCAGTCTTATTAGCTGACAATAGTTTCTAGATTGGTTCAGACTTTCACACGAAACCTATAAAAACAGCAAAGTAGAACTTGTTGTTCTTTACAGGTTTTGCAGAGAAAACTGAGACCGGTAGAGCCGGTTCAGGACTCAAATATATTTTAAAAAAATGGTCCTCTCTCTTGCATTGCAACCTGCCAGACAAGATATTTCAGCTAATGAAGTGTTTCAAAGCAAATAAGTCAAAAAGCAACACGCAACTGAATCGTCACGTTGCACAGGTAACAAATTAATCATCAGAAAAAGGGATTCCTTCTGTTTATTCTTCTTATTATTATAGATAAATGTTTTAATCAATCATATTTTATCAGATTTAGGACTCCATAAACAATCTGAAGAGATTGAGGAGAGATCAATATAGCTAAAAGCTAAAATACAGGTCACAGTGACAATAACAATCTTCAGTGTGGAAGTCAGTAGAGAGAAAAAAAGACTCAAAATTCACTATTTTCAGAGTCGTAAAATGTTTAGAGGAAACATAAAATCTTGTTTACATGTAGCCATATTGGCTGCTCATTCAGGCTGCTAATTTAGCAGCTATGCTAATAATGCTAAGTGCTAATAGAAGATTCCAAGGAGAGCTTAAAACATAAACTATTTTTTTTCTTTGTTTTGAAATGATAGAGATATAAATGCAGAGCAGTTTTATCTTTTCATTTTCTTAAAAAACTGAAACTAGTGTATTTTTTATAAATACTTGTTAATATTATATTGATAAATGTGTCAATAGGTGCTCATGTTCAATAAAGTTAATATTTATTGTTATCTGATTAGCTCTAATAAAAATATTTTGAAAACGAAAATGCAGAGCGAATAAAATGTTTCAATCATCAATTCCAGCAGGACTGCTATGAGTTTCTATATTTAGAGTAAATGAATTTAAAAAGCTTAAGGCTGTTATTTATAGCACCTAAATCTGAGAGATTAACATGGTGAACAAAAATTAGCCACAAAATCTCTGATCGGTGAATCTTTAATTATGTAAAACAGAAAACTGCACCAGAGCACTAATTTATTTTAATTATAATCTCTTAAATAATGAGGAATAAATCAGTACAAAAGGAATGAAAACCATGGAATATTAAAAGGTTGTGTGCCGTTTATTTGTATTTATGTTAAAACCCAGAATGATCCCAAACGCCTGCATGTTTCCTGTCGTCTGCACCTGTTTTCATTACCTGTCTGTGAGCGTTTCAGCTCTTCATGTCCCATTTTAAGCATCAAGGAGACGAGAGCATCAGCAGAGGAGAATCTGCAGGAAAATTGGATTTTCAGCCCGTCTTACTTAAGATCCGAATTGATGTTTCCCACCGATCTTTTTGTTCCAACTTGTCAAATCAGCAGCTGCATGGAGGGGATTTTTTTCAACATGCAGCAAGAGAAAATTAAAGATTTGGTTCCTCTTATACCAGATCCAGTTTTATTCTTTTTATTTTTCTTGTTTTAAGTATAGCTACTTTTACTTGAGTAAAATCGATTTAGTGTGAGTAACTTCACTGAACGAAGAACAAACATGTTTTAACTAAAAATTAATCAGACATGCTGTTTTTGCCATAAATTTTAAATTGAAAGGAACTGATTTTACTTGATTTTATTATTTTGTACTTATGTCATTTATATGAATTATTTTCATTTTGATATTTAAAATACCAAAATTTCCACATTCATGTATGTTTTGGTCCATCTGCTGATGTAATTTTTAAATATTAAATGGTATTTTGATCAGTTCATCAGTACTGCAGTCGTTACCGAATGCTGAGTAAATTCTTGAACATTTTACTTAAGTAAAAATATATTGAAATAGCGCTACTTTTACTGGAGTACAATCTTTGCCTAACTCTTAAGTAGAAAATTAAATATTTGCCGTTTTGTAGACCTGAATTCAAACTGTTGTCAAACAAGATGGCCGCCCTTGGCACGGTGACATCACAGAACTATGGAAACCCAGTGAGTACATTGGTGTAAAAAAACCCCAGATTTTCCAAAATTAAAACTTCAGAAGCCAATAAACTTCCAGAACTGTAAAGCTAGACGTGGCTCTTCTTCCCGTCACCCTAAAGAAGAGCCCGATCCGCTCGGTTTGCTCACGTCGACGTCCAGATGCGCCTCGCCGTGCAGGTAACCCGCAGCGCCGGCGGCCGCAAACTGAGCGGCAGAGTCTGAAGCAAACGCCTCGCTCTCCTTTCTTCCCTCTAAGAAATACGGCCTTCCCCACTGTGACAGCTCACAGATGGCGGTGGCAGAGGATCGCAGATGGTCCGATCTGCAGCTCAACCCCCCCGCACACGCAGCCGCCCCCCATCGGCGCCACACAGATGGTTCAGTCCGCCTCCCATGTTTCAAACCAGGGGGCCGGCGCAGAAACCCCGTCAGAGCTTCCTCTCAGGATGGCATTAGCAAATCGCAGGAAAATCAGCCAGGCGGAGTGGACACACCTGCTGGCCACCAGCTAAACACACACCGACTCCGAGGGGGGATTATCTGGAGGAGGGTCAGGGGACACTGGGAAAAATTTAAAATTCTGATGTTTTATCAGAATTCTGACTGTGGATCGCAGAAGATTGACGACAAAATTATGAGAAAAAAGTCTGAATTCAAAGAAAAGCAGAATTATGAAATGAGTCAGATTTCCAAGGTCAAAGACAGAATTCTCAGATTAAGTCAGAATTTCAGAAAGGAAAAAGTCAGAATTTTCCCATTAGCACCAGAATTCCACGATTAAAGTCAAAATTTGTGAAAAAATTTTCTAAATTTTTAAGTTAAAGACAGAATTTCTCAGATTACAATCAGAATTTGAGACAGTAAAGTTTTGAGAATAACACCGGGATTCTGAGATTAAATTCAAAATTCTGAAAACATCAGAACTCTGAGAAATATAATCAATTATTTAGAGAAAAGACAGATTTCCCACATTAAAGACAGAATATGAGAAAAAAATCCAAATTTTGATGAAAAAATAGTTAAACTTCTGAGATTAAAGATGAAATTCTCAGATTAAAGCCAGAATTTCATTAAAAAACATCAGAATTTGAGAAAACAAAGTCAAAATTATGAGATTTAAATCAGAGTTGTCAGATTAATGTAAATTTCTGAGAAGTATTTTTTATTTTCTCAGCGGCCCTAGTCCTTATTAACCCGGATTCGCTCCCGAACACTCACAGATGATGTAGTAGTCCTTCCCCTTGAAGAACTCGAGGCCCCACAGGTTGGGGCTGAACTCCTGGAACTTGAGCGTGAACTTCACGTCCTGGTCGGGCTTCACGCAGTTCAGCAGCGGCGTGTCGGCCTTGGTGATGGTGCAGCTCTCCAGCTGCTCCCTGGGCACCATGTACACCTTGTAATACTCCACGCCGTCGACCACCCCGCCGTCCACGCGCGGGCACACAATGTCCAGCTTGTCCCCGATCTGCGGGTACAAAACCACGCCTTGGCCCGGAACAAATCTGGAAAAGAAGGAGGGAAGGTGTTACTAGGGAGGTAATGTTTAGACTGGCGATGGTCGGCCATCTTAGATGACGGCTGACCATCGTAACTGAATCTAATGCTACATTCACATATGGGCTGGACAATAAATCAATAACAATATAGTGACAGGCACGTGATCAATATCAATAGATATTGATCACTGAAATCTGAAAAAATTTAGATAATTCCAATGAACTCCAATCCAGAACCACGCAGCATTCTGGGAAATGTAGGCAGAGAAAAGGTTCTCTCACAGCTGGCTAAGCAAGGTTGGTGGAATCAACTCACTCACTCTTAGGTTACCTAGCAACAGCTTTTAAAGTAACTTCTGGTTGCCAGGCAATAACTTTAAAAGTAACTTTTGGTTGCCTAGCAATAGTGAAAACTGGGGTTAAAACAGAAAAGGTCACAGAACTAGCTCACCAGTATTTCAGGTATTTAAAACAAAAAGAGAATCAATAATTATCGATATTGACCAATATGAAACGCTTATATTGTGATACGTTTTTCAGCCATAGCCTGCAGGTTTTTATACTCAATTCCAATTATTTTATTTTTTATGAAAAATATTTCTTTTGCATGGTCGTTCACGCTACTAAATAAATGTGAATATAATAAGACAGTTTATATCCCCAGGGACCCGCATGCGCAAACAAAACAAAAAATGTCAGCACAGGCTCATAACAGCATGAAGGAAGCGAATACAAAGAACGCAAAACTGCAACTTTCATAATATCATAATTATGATTTTCAGCCACTGACTGTTTACATCCAGTCCGTCGTCTTCTGCTGTAATGACGTATATGTCCAATTAAAAGAAACTTTACCGAAAACTATCAGATACATACCCTATTTAGTACCACTGATGGGGAAACAAATTGATTTTATTGTTAGCATTTTAAACTAGCTGTTGAAAAAGGCATCTGACGCCCAAAGAAACACCAACTTCCTTCTGTTTCAGGCATTAGCGAACCAGAACCTGTCTCTGATTGGTTAAAAATGAGAAAGAAAAAGCTGCTGGTTAAAAGCAGAGAAAATGCTGGTTGCTATGGAGATTCCCTCCCTTTCTGAGGAGCAGCAAAACAGAAGTATAAGACTCAAACAAAGTGTCCTGTTTTAAAAACAGTAAAGTGCCTGTGAAAAGTTTTTAAACAGAAGGAAGTGGAAACTTCTGGTTGTCTTGCATGGACATTTTTATGTGTCTGCAGCGTTTCATGTAGCAGATATCAACCCTCCAAATTGGAGGTTTGAAATATAAATTCAGAGCTGAATCATAATGAGAGTTGAGGTGTAGGCTCTCTGCAGTCTGGAGTGATTTGACAGAAAACAATAAGTCCTGCAGGAGTGGAGAACAAATTGAAAGAAAGTAGATAAAAATGCCAACATTTTGATGTATAAACCGCATTTATGGAGATGAAGTTATAGCCATGAAATTGGTTGTAAATCAAAAAGGTTTCAGCAAATATCACAGAAACAGAATATATATGATGTCAGACTTTAAGATGAACATTAAGTCGTACCATCTCAAAACATCATAAAACATATAGAAGGGATCAAAACAGTTATTGACATTTTGAAATAAAATAAACATTTAATTAAAATTTTGGGGGGTTAAAATAAAAAAAAGCATAAAACTTTTGCAAAAGGAGGATGACTGAATTTTCTTCAATAGGATGTTTTGAGGAAAATTGTATTAAAAACACAATTTCCAACCAGATAAGAAAATTAGATGTAAAAACAAGTTACTGGGGTTTTTCATTCTGCTGAATCTGAAATTCAATAACAAAGATTAAAAAACCTTTTTTTTTTTTTTTTTTTTTTGGCAATAAGTTAATGTTTTTGGTGACGGGAAGACAAATTGTTTCAAAAACATTTCAATTGTTGAGTCACACCGAATCGTTACCTAGCAACCCAAACTAACTCCAGTACATTTGGTCAGCTGGTACTGTATGTACAATGGCTGATGGAAAAGACAAGTGTTTTTTTGTTGTTGTTGATTTACTATTTAGAAATGACTTGCTGCAATATTGCTGGTTGTGCAGCAGGCTCTACTTTTTCTTTTCAAACATGCATAATTGTATAGCAGTGCATCTGTTTGCAGTTGCATGCGAGTGTAAACGTTGAGTTAGGGCGCATGGCCAGCATCAGTTAATTTGGATTAAAAGTGACAAGACACCATGAAAAAATAAAATCTCATTATCTAAGAATGAGTTTGTGCAAAAAATGTAATCAATATAGAACTAAACTGTTCAAGGTTGGTTGGTTGTGTCTATTCTGAGTCTTTCCCTCACATATATTTGGGACAGAAGTCCTTGCTTTTCCGAGAATATTCCATAAAACTGAAACTAACTGGAAGCCATGGGAATAAAACAGAAAGTCTATTATTTCAGGTGTAAAATCTTGACTTTGCTGATGGGGAAAAAACAACTGTATCAGCAGGAGGATTTATATATGAGCTGCCTCCATTTGGTGATTTTTAGCTCTAATTTCTCACAAGGAGAAATCGGAGAAGAATCCAAATGATCACATCAACAATCATGGCTCCTACAACCGCTGCATTTCTTCTCCAAACATCACCTTGTTTGCTTCAGGCAGCTGCGGGTCACAAACAGCAGCAGCTAACTAGGCCGTGGTGTTTCTCCCTCTCTCTCTCTTCCTGTGCCACCCGCAGGGATGCGCTCAGCGGCGGCTCGCTGCATCCAGCGACAGGCTCAGGAAGAAACAGAGGCAAAGGGAGAGTGACTCTACGTCTTCGCCTCGCAGCGCCATCTGCCACCGTCCTCTACAAGTCTGAAGGAGACGGAGGGACAGAGAGACGGAGAGATGGAGGGACGGTCACTGGAAACTGGCCTCTAGGCTGCAGCTGCTGCTGCCGCCTTCATGTGTGCAGCGTCCAAGTCTGAGTGAAACATTGACATGCGACGCAGCTTGAGGTTCCTGCAGCGGCGTATTAGGGCCATCGTAGACAGAAAAAAAGAGCGTAAATTTCCGCCAAAAAACTCAGGAATTTTTAGGTTAATCTCAGAAATACTTTGGAAAAGACAGATTTCTCAGGTTTAAAGGTCAAAAATTTGCTGGGAAAAAATCCCTCAGAATTTTGACATTAGTCTCTGAAATTGTCTAGAGAAGAGAAGGACATTTCTGAGCTCCAAATGTTGACAAATTTGTAGAAAAAAACTCAGTTAAAAAAGTAAAAAAAAAAACTGCAAGAAAAAAAATCATACATTTTTAGATTAATTGCATAAATTTTGTAGAAAAACAAGAAAATTTCTGAATTAAAAAGTAGAACATTTTCTAGAATTTTTTTTTAGCAAATGTGTTAATTTTCCAAATCAGAAATTTCCATTTTTTTAAAAAAAATCTGAGCTTAATCTCTGACTGTTTTTCTTTTTTACTTCAAACTTGTAGTATTACTAGTCATACTACTGTGGCTTTATGAAGTTAGTGCTATAACTAGGAAGTCATAATACTATGACTATTCTCTTATTTTGACTTTGTTGTTGTTGTACGAGTTTCTTCTCATAATATTTAGATATTCTTGTAATTTTGTGACTTTATTATCGTCATTTTTTCCTGATACTCCGTTGTAATAAACGAAACAAAAAATTCAGTTGAAAAAAATCATATTTAGTTTTTACGTTTATGTTTAGACAGAAGACGACGACTCTGTCATGTTTAGTATGAGTCAACCATGATTTTCTGCAGGATCCAGTGAAGTGCTAAGTATTTTTCCATGGGAGGTTATGGCCCCTTCTGCCCCCCTCTTAGGGTTGCCTCTGTCAGAAGCCTCAAACCCAGCAAGAAAAGGGTTTTACAACAGATTTTAACAGATACTGAATGGCAGGTGTCGCCCCCTGCCTGTGAGGAGGAAGATTGCAGGTATGAGGAACTTTTATGTTGATTTTATCTAAAAACAAACTAACTTAAGCTTAATATTTTCACAGTACTACAGTTAGATACTTCAGGATATCTGCTATTTTTTCCAAACTTTAAATAATTAATAAGTAACTAACAATGTTCAGAGTCGGTGTGAAGAAGAAACTCGTGCTGGGAGGTTATCTTGGCTGACACTCTGAGTGCGTTTGGGTATAAAGAATAAAATCTTCTCGGTATGCAGAAATGAGGAGGTGGTGATAGGATGTGAAGCGTCCCGTAGTGGGAAAACCTCCCGGCTGTGTTTGGATGTCTGTGGGATAAATATGAAGTAATTGCTGTCTGAAACAAACAGATCTGAGAGCTGAAAGTATAAAAAAAAAAAAACTGCGACACCACTGTTAAAACCACCTGAAAATCTCGTTTCGTACATTCAGAACAAGTTGGAACTTGGAGTCTGCAAAGAGCCAGATAAACAAAAAATAGGAGTTGGTACGACGGACTGGATAAACTGATCATTAATCCAACTATCATTTCTGAGAGGCTCACAAGGATTTCTGACTCTAAAGTGAAAATCTTCCCCTGAAAGGGCAGCAACAATCTCAACGTTTAAACTTATAAGTGCAAGAAATCGTTTAAAAATGACCAAAAGTTATCATACAAATGCAAAAAACATTTTATTTTGTAATATTTGGTTCATCATTTTATTCATGTGTTCATGTTTAACCTGTTCATAAGTGAAACTTTATTAAATTTCAATGTACTTTAAAAGTAACTTAAAACTACGGCTGGAACTTACAATTATTCTAATTATTCTGACGATTAATCGATTAATCTGATAAAAAAAAAAGATTCATTCTGCATAATTTTTATTTAACCACTTAAGCCCTTTTTGTACAGTATCAGAAATACATAAAATGTAAATAATTAAACAAGGAAATAAACATTTTATCACCTGAAATACAACAACATTCCCTTTAGCTTGATTATAGTAAAGGACGCATCAGCAGCTATGAAAATACTTGTAACGTCTATAAAAATATGAAAAGCTCGGTCCTTTCTACTTGAGTTAACATCAATGCAGTGTAGGGATTATCTGCTTATT